CACAAGGGATTGGCCCAAAGCAAGGCCTGAAAGCCCACCATGAGTCTAAAGCACCTTCTGGCGGGGACCCTCAGAAATGGCCAGACAAGTCTGGGAGGAAAAGATCAAAGTCAAAGCAAGATAAATGCTGCCATAGTCAACCTCTCCATGGAGTTCTCACCCACATCTGTTTCACCCAGTCCAGGGCCAAGAAACAAGAGCCGCTTCTTCACCTGTCTCTGCTCCATGTGCCTCCCTCAGGTCTCCTTCTGGCTCTCTATCCTGCTTCCTTCCTCCTCAGTCTCCTCTCCAGATTCCTCTCCTACCTGCTCAGTTCCAACCTCCTTTGGGTAGGGCAGGGAACCTGGAACCTCCCCTTTTCCTGGGGACTCCCCATTACACTTTCTCTTTTCTCCCCTCCACTTTCTCTTTTCTACAGAACTGTAGTGATATGGCCCCTGGGAAGGAAGGAAGCTCCAACAGGTTGCCTTCTTATAATTTCTCTCTTTCAAGCCCCATTTTCTTCTAACAGAATAAAAAGTTCTCGAGGAGCATCTAAATAAATTTAGAAAAAGTCATTTACCCTGAGCAGCAAAGTCAGGTCAGATGAGTTTCAGAGTAGCCAGTTGTGTGGGATCCATTCGCCTTGCACGGTCCTACCCAAGTTCAACTTCTGCTCGGGAGACATGAGGGCCTCACTCCTGTCATTTGTTTTTAACTGATGGTTGACTTGATCTTCTCAAAGTTTTCATATCTGTTTCTGCATTTACTCAAATTTCCAGAGGAACTTTCAGAAGGTATTGTTCTTTTTAATTTCTTGGATAAGTCTAGTAGATCTATGTTTAAACTCTGTGCCCCAAAGTGAATATTTGACAAGATAACTTTTAAAATAAAAGATATTTAAAGGGTGACATCAATGATCAAATATTCAACTCTACATAAAAGATTTTTTAACAATATAATAACTTATCTTTACATCATTTTGTGCCTTTTTTCCATCTCAGTTGTAATCCCTGTGGGCTCCCCATCACCAAATCACCCTTGTGCCATCACCATAGTCCAGTGCACTTCTTTCCCCACCCCCCGTTTTTGATCCCATTCCTCACTCCACCCCTGTAAAATGTCTCTGGTATGTAGTTGTTCGTTATTATTATTATTTTCTCCCCTGATCCTTTATACTCCTGCTATAAATGAAACCATCTGCTATTTTTCCTTTCACAGAAAATATTTTTAAATGAACAATGAAAGTAAGCTTTATGATGGAACCCTAAGTAAATATTTGCTTTTACATGCATTGACATATTAGAAACATGTTTATGTATAAGAAGGTAGAATTGATACGGGTATGTTTTCTTTATATTTTAAAATGTTAAAATTTTTTTAAATGGTTGAGAAAGGAAGGTTGTCTGTGTCAGTGAACAAATGTCATAGCATCTGTCTCTGAACAAATGTTTTGTATTCTTTCAGGGATCAGGACAGTTATGTAAGTAGAAAGGAACATAGGTTAGTAAGAAGGAATTTGCAAATGATATATTTAAAACATTTTTTATTTGGAATTTATGACCATTTTTCTAAGGCCCCAAAGATAGCAGAAAGGGGAATTTAAACTAGGTAGCTCTAGGCATTTCATAGCCACTGGTCACTTTCCCTCACTTTTGTGTCTCAGATTCCTGTCCAGCCAGAAACAACCAGCAGCCAGTGAAAAACAGCTGATTTTATACCGAATGAACTATCTTATAAGAAAGAAAATAGAACATACCCCACAAAGAGATTAAACATAGGCTCTATCCAACACCTTATGCACATGTTCAAGCCAAAGTTATTTATCTGCTTTTTTTTTTAAAAATCAGTCTTCTTAGAAGATGCTTAAAAATGTTTACCCATGCCTCAATATCTTTCGTATGCCTTTCAATGTCTAAAATAGCATTTTGTTCTCCACCGCTGTAGACAGAATGTCTTCAGCACATTGCTAGACTTCTGCAGAGGCTCCCAGCCGCTCTGGCAGAGTGCGCTGAGCCAGCTGGGCTGCCATTACTGCTTAGTCACCTGGCAGGTGATGGCAGCATGTGTTCTAAGTCATTTCCTTCTTCCTCCCCTCGCCCTGCTCCTGCTGCTCTCTGTGTTCCAGACAAGGAGGAATTTGTTGGCCACGGTCAGAAGTTCTTTGTTGGTAGGTGAAGATTAACAAGAGCTGTGTCTTGGTCACTACTAATTTATAGTCCACTCTGCTCGACACTCTTCTAAAAGTTGCTTCTGCTTATGGATGTTTCCAAACGTATTCCTTTCTTCTGGCTTCCCTCTGTCCCTTTTGTTTGTTCAGTGTTCTGTTATATTGATGGTTTATTCTAATTTTTGCAGTTTTCACTGGATATCTCTTACTCTCATCTATCAGACTTATAAAGCTTTCATTTTTTTTTCTTCAGCCTTTCCTTGTATTTACCTAATTCAAAAGAGACCAACTCTCTGGCTACTAAACTTAATTAGTTGGCCACATTCCCCTAGTCTTACAATTGGACAGAACTTCCTGAAGGAGTAGGAATCACCTGGGCTTCCTCCTCCGTGAGACAGAAGGAGAACAGCAGGACTGCTGTGAAGTAGATTGTTGGTCTCAGGTTTGGATGCACAATGGAATCACTGGGGAATTAAACAAAAAAATGATGCCACCTTATTCTGTCTCATCAGGAATAATTCAACCTAAAAGCCATAGGTAGACTGAAACAAAGCCGGTATCTGCGCTCAGGTGTGGACTCAGCAGCCTGGGGTGGTGGAACGTCCTCTGAGCAGGGCGGGGACCTCTTCCTTGCAGGGGGTAAAGTCAGAGCCTGGGCGCGGAGAGAAAGGGCTGCCGTCACGTGGGCGCACCGCCTCTAGGGGGCGCGCCTCACCTAGCTTGGGCTCTCGCTCTTCGCCAAGCTGCTCCGACTGTCTGCCCCCCCGTCTTGCGCAGGTGCACTTGCTCGATAGAAAAGTAAATGTGTGGAGGATAGTAAGACTCAGGTTTGTCACTGTTAAAGGAGTCATCACATGGAAAGGGGGAAGGCGAGGATGACTCCTGACCTGTTTGTTGAGTTGGCATTGCAGCTATCAGTTTTCATTGTTTTCAGCATGTGTAGACACGCAGGTGTGTGTGCGCGCGCGTGCGGCCTTGCATGTGGTCAACCTGGGCACAATTCTGAAAATACCAGGAAGCCCTGTGATTTAGTGGGCATATTAAGCAGGATTGTAGGAGCTCCGAAAGCACAACTAAGATATTCAGCTCTGCTACTGATGACCCTGAGCGACCACCTAGCCACCTAGGTGTTTGCGACTGAAAAATGTGAGCAACACACCTGCTCCCCAGTTCCCACCCTGCCCAGACCCACCAACCTCCCTCACCAGGGACACTGAAGAAGCCTCCTAACAGTCTACCCTTAACACTCCCTACAGTTTACATCCTCCTCACAGCAACCAACATAAATCAAATCACATCCAGCTCTATCGCCACCAACTGGTGACTTCCACTGCCACTTTGACCACAAACCAACACGCCCGCCTGCCTGGGCCCTGTGTGATCTCCCTGGCTTCCTCTGCAGCCCACTTGTGACCACTCCCTTTTGCCCACTAGCCCACAGCTGCACTCCTTAAACACTCTCAGCACACCCTTCCTCTGTACCTTTGCAGGTGCTGTTCCCTTAGTCCTGTATCTTCACTCTATCTGCCTCTTAGGTTTCATTACTTTATTTAGACACCTGCTCAATTCTCTTCTTTAAAGATTTCTTATTTATGCATACGAGAACTAGGGTACAGGCCAGATGTGCAGGGGGTGAGAGGATTCACCAGACAGAGTGGGGAGCAGAACAGGTAGATTGACTGAAATACACTGAAGGGAGCAGCGGGCGAGACAGAGAGGTCTGCTGCACCATGTGGGTCACCTCCGAGGCCAGGGACCAAATCCGTGCCACAGTGGCTGTGGGTAGCTCCACAGTGCTAAGTTCCCACCCCTTGCACCACTAGGGAAAGCCCAAGGTGAGCTTTTCAATGACACAACTGCCTACTGAAGTTGTTCTGTTCTTCTCTACCCATTGGTTCTTCATCTAAGGACTTTTTTTTTAAATTGTATAATTGTTTTTACATCATTTTGTGCCTTTTCCCATCTCAGTTGTAATCCCCATGGGCTTCCCATCACCAAGTCACCCGTGTGCCATCACCATAGTCCAGTGCACTTCCCTCCCCCTACCGCTTTTGATCCCATTCCCCACTCCACACCCATAAAATGTCTCTGGTATGTAGTTGTTTGTTATTATTATTATTTTCTCCCCTGGTCCTTTACACTCCTGCTATGAGTGAAATCATCTGGTATTTTTCCTTTTCTTTCTGGCTCATTTCACTCAGCATGATCTTTTCCAGCTCCACCATGTCGCTGCAAAAGGCATGACTTTATCTTTTTGATTGCTGAGTAATATTCCATCGTGTATATGTACCACATCTTTTAAATCCAGTCATCTACTTTTGGGCATTTGGGTTGTTTCCATGTCTTTCCCATTGTAAATAAAGCAGAAGTAAACATGGGGGTAAGCACTTATTTTTATTGGTTGTTTTTGTTGTTGTTGTTGTTCCTTCTCCTTCATAAAATGTGAATTTCACAAAGGAAGGGCATTGCTTGCCCTGTCCACCAGCTCCCTAGCACCAGCCTGGGACCCAGTAGGCTCTTAATGCAACTTAGAGATAACATGCAAGGCAAACTATTTTTCCTGCTAGCTGCAACCTTCGACAGACAGACATTAACACTTTGGCTCACTGAAGCAAGAAGCCGACCTTATGGCCTGAGTCTCACGCTCTGTGCTTTGCTCCCTCCCAGCTGGTTTCCGCCGCAGCCTACGGCTCTCCCGCAGGAGTCACCTCGGCCAGCCGCGTGCCAGTGCCTGCTGTGCCAGCTCAGGTGCGGTGGGTGCCCCTTACGAGGAGGTGGTGAAGTACCAGCGCTGCGCTTCCGACAAGCCCCGCCTCATTGTGCTCGTGGGTACGTCCCACCGACAGGCACGTCCCCTCCCTCCGACCCACACACATAAGAGAGTTTTCCTTGCCTATTCAACAATCTTGCCTTGGGAAGAGTG